TTGCGAGTATCACAAGTTGAGGATGCAGCTTAATCCATTTTGGTGGAGCTAAATCTACGCAACAGTTCCTAATGCTTAATTTTAGGTTAGACAACAAATGATCAAATTAGGGAATTAGGAACACAAGGTTAGGACCAAACACCATGGCCTAATCATACTTTAGCTAGAATCAATCTTTGAATCTGAATTAGACTTGTTACTTGAATCTTTATAACCCAGAATTGAATTGTTATGGTGAATCGAATGCCCTAGTCTCCAAACCTGTGTTTTAACCTTCAAAACCACCCTTTGTTACTTTTGTTTACTTGCTTTCCGTTGCAATTTCAGTTTGTTCATTTCTTTCTATAATCACAAGCATTCTCACTTCAAAGTTCATTTTAATCTTGCTGCATTTGTTTTCAAACTCACTCCTGCTTTAAATTCTGTTTTAGATTTAACTTCCTAACTTCTTGAATTTGGTAATCTAAAGTACATAACTAATTTGAACTTCTCAGTCTTCGTGGGTACGACCTCGTACTTGTCTTGCTATATTACTAATTGCCCTGTACAATTGCGAGTTAACATATTATTAACAACACCCATCCAAACCATGCACCAATATTGTCCCTATCTTAACCACTTAGGTCCAATCCTTAAGTTGGGTTAGGCCCAATGGACCTCTAAGCGTGGGGGTTTATCACAAAAGGCCTCCGTGCAATTAGGAGTGGGCCAACTATATTTAAACTGTAAATTATTGTTGTATTGTTGGGTTCATTTTTATACATGATTTATCATATGATTCACCCAATAGTTTGAGTTAGGTCTTGACATTTTATAGCTTTTTACTTCCTTTTTGTGTTTTCATAGATTTTACCTTGATTGAAATGAATGTGAGCTAAAAGTGCATTATTAAATATAAAATCTATTTTTACTCATTTTAGTAGGCCAACTTCTTGACCATGGATCATCATGATCCGGTGCTTGGATGCAGTGAAGTTCTTCATGAAACTTGTTCCAATGGGTATCGACCACAACATATCCGAAATTTAGCTCCATTGAACAAGTATAACCTCCCCAACCGATCCAGTATTGATGCTAACTCTGAAAATCTGTTTTGGACCAGTTTTACCTCCACTTGATGTCATATTATTTCTACTTGTTACCATACCATTTGGTAACAATGATTTACCTTGTTGAAATGGGATTTGCTGAGAAAAAAGGGAGCCTCTTAATGAATTTAAAAATCAAATCCCATGTTGGCAAGAAGACAAGGAGAAGACAATAGTCAAAGACTTTAGGTAAAAGGTGTATCTTTATATGCAAATGTGAGTTGACAAGGATTGAAGACAACAACACATGGAGATAGAAAGGAAAATCAATGAAAGTCAGCCACATCGAAAAAGAGGAGGAAGCGTCGCACATACAATAAGAAAGGAAAAGAAGATGATAAAGAAATGCATTGGTGGGCTACTTGCTTGATTATTTTAAGATTGAGTGATACCTTCCTTTGGCTATAATAGAGTAAGCACGGTAGATGGAAGGGTGTGCAATTCTTGGGCACCAAAGAGAGTAGAGGTGCAGTTTTTAGGCACCAAATAGAGGGGAGAATGACATGATAATTAGAGAGAAACTTGGGGAGCCATGAGGCAAGGATCCAAGGGTTTGATAATGCAATTCTGTTTCTCCTCCTTGTTATTAGTTTCTTTCATTTGATTTTTTTTCTTGTATTTTCTTAGTTTCAATGTAACTTCTTCTTTTTCTAGGGTTAGGTTGAAGCCCTAAACATGATTACTCTTGTTTTGATGCTTTGAGTTTATGAATTTCTAGATATTTTTTATGAATTCCCTTTCACTAAATTAATCATATGCTATGTGTTTGCTTCCTTTGATTGCTCACCTTAGGTTGTATGCATCTAGCTATAGTTGAGAAGTTGTGTAAGATACCCAAGAACACATATTCTAATTAGCAACAAATGATTGAATCATTTCTAAGTGATCTTTATGTGAATTGGTTTTTTGAACGACTAATGTAAACACAATGTTATTAGGGTCCTTGTGATGTTCATATTCTCTTCAATCTCAATGAGTTTCCTGATATGGTTAAATTGAAGTACTAAGCACACATATATCGAGTGTATGGGAAGCATGAGTATTGTAGCACTAGACACACACCTTACTTATTTTAGAGAGAAACAATGCGTCTCAAGCCACTAAACCGGGTCTTGATTGCGAACATCGTCATCAATATGTCTAGAGTTCTTTTGCTTTGAGTATTCAATAACATGAGTAGAAGTGTAGGGATGGCTTCAAAGTGTTCTAGTGTTAGTTCTCTTAAATTACATTTTGTTTTTCAGGTTTGTTAATCTTCTTAGTTAGCATTTCTTTTCATAGGTGTCTCTAGAATTTAGTTTTTCAAATCAAACCCCCCATGTGTGTTGTTTGTTTAAAGTGTGATTTTAGCCTTAGAGTTGTGTGACTTTGTAATTGTGTTTTTCTTTCTTTTTCTCTTCTTATTTCAACTAGGAAATCGAATGGAATTAAGCGATCCAATCTATGTGGGATCGACCTCACACTTACATAAGCTTACTGCCAATGGTTCGTGCACTTGCAAGTATAATGTGTGTTTGAAATAATCTTTGTTTTGCAGATTGTCTAAAACATCACAACATGTATTCTCCGATGTGACACTTACACATCATAGCTTGTATCGAGCCACCTACACCAACAGGTCCCACATAAAAAAATCATATTGATGATGAGTGACAATGCTAATACAGAAATTAGAATAATACGCCTCCTCTCAACTAGTTCTTCATTATTTATTGGTAAATAATGTAGACGTTCTTGCTTTTCTTAGCCTATTTTAATGTCAATTATTTATTGGAAATATTTTGATTATGTACGAGAAGGGAGTCAAATCATGAACCTATGCTAATTTTGACATTCTTCATTATTTATTGGCGAAGAATGTAGGTGTTCTTGATTTTCCGAGCCTATTATTGGAATTTCTTTTGGTTTATGTAGGGGAGCTGAATCCTAGATCTATTCTAATTTTTAATTTAAAATTAAATACTAGCTAGTACAAGAGTTAATACAAGTATACAAAAATTGGTGATGATGAACTCTGACTATTTGGGAATTGATTATTAGGTCCAATTACTTATTTTTGTTTTTTTGCTACTTTAAAATCGTACTCTTTGTTAGCCCTCAAGGCATAAAACAAGGGCGTTGCCGCAAGCACAGAAACAAAACAAAAACCATTTATTTTGAAACATACGGTACGTGCACAAACTGCTTACAAACTAGACATGGATCAAACCAGCTTGGCATGCAAACATACGACTTCGACTCCTCTTATTTATTCGGCCATCAGATTATGACTCATAATTAAGGAAAACTCCAATCTCCAATGCTTAAGCTTTCTAACTAATTAATTAGCCAGAACATAGGCATCGAGCTCCTGGAAGTTCTTGACAGCAAAATCCTTGATGAGACTTGGATCGGGAATCTGTTCATGGGCTTTCTCAAACACAGATGACCATTTCACCAAGCTCCCGTCTCCCTTGGGAGTCACGGTTAGGATGCACTTGAAGCTCGTGTAGTACTTGAGCAGATCTCCGTCGATCACCTTGTAAGCAACTGACTTGTTTGCTTCATCCACCGCATCGATCGTCTCTTTCGATACTTTCACAATTGGAGAACCTAAGTAATAAAAATTAAAAATTACATCATTTATTGGAAAATATTTAGATATAAGTAACATAAGTCTGACAAAAGAACATTACACATTATTTTTTATGTTACCTTCTGAATATGTTATGAGGCGAACAGAGCCAACAGCTTTTCCGTCGCCTTCGAGGACATCAATGCTTTTGTAGTCATGAGGGAACGCCTTGGGGAAGATAGTGGTGGAGTCCCTAAGGCCTTCCCAGAACTTTTGTGAAGGAGATTTCACCTCAATTTCGACCTCAAGCTTTCCACCATTTGCAGCCATTGTTGCAAAATGTTGTAGCTAATAAGCACGCAGAGTATAACAAAAGAAAAATTGATCAATTGTGTAGAGAATTGCTTGACATGTTTGAGAATTAGGCAGGCATTATTTATAGTAGTTTCAGAGCTTTGCTGGTCTTAAATTCAGTAGGAATAAGCTCAACTACCACTTTATTAGTGTCGCTCAGCGACACCACGAAAATTTATACCTTTCACATGCATCGGGAACTGCCTGGGATGGCCGGCGGGCCCAATTACATTAATTGGTGTTGTTCTTTGGTGTTACAAGACTTAAACCTAGCTACAAGTTTTTTTATAGGAAAAACAACAGTAAACCTCCCAACCTATAGGGTCATTTACGAGTTCATACTCGACTTTGGGGGCATTTAAGAGTATATACTCAACGTCGCGGAAAACTTATAATTTGCCCCATCCGTTAATGATATCATCAGAAAATCCGTTATCTGTCCACGTGGCATTTGTGGGATCCATTTTTTAATTGACGTGGGGTTCCACGTGGACAAAAAATTAATAAAAAATTTACTTTTTATATTATTTTAATAAATTAAACATATTAAATTTAAAAAAAATTTAAAATTTAAAAACCCTACCTAGATTCTCTCTCTCTCCGCCGATTTCTTCCCCCCCACCCAATTTCTTCAACCCCATATTACTCTGGGTGCTTGGAATTGGAAGGAATCCAAACACTAGCATTAGACTTGAATTTCCAAGAAGGAACCATAAAACACTCTGAAACTCAATCCTTTAATCAACCCAAATCCAAACAGAGGTATAAAATGAAAATGCTCACGATAATGCACGGAAAATGTCAGTGATTTGGCCATCGATCTCCGCCAGCTCTTTGCTGATTGTAGATAACGTATCCATCTCTCCAATAAACAACAATCAAATCAAATCCTTCAGATCATCACGAAACTCATATTCTGGGAAGTTCCCCAATCAAATCCAATCCCCAACCGAATGAAAAGGGCCGAATCCTTCGCATTGCGGAACGCCACAATATTCGAACTACTGAACCACCCAAACCGCAGAGGATGGAAGGAGAAGAGGAAGCTATCGCGATACAAAACCCTCCTCGACCTCATCAATGTACAAACGCGACTCGACTTATTGCTTAGATCTGGGTGGCACAAGGTCGTGTTCGAATAAGAGGTTTGGGGCCGTGCAACCAAATCCTTGATACTCAAACATTAAAATAAAATAAAATAAAAATCAATCAAAGAACAAGCATAGTTGCAGATCTGTAAATTTGAAACAAAGAACAAAGTTCACAAGCTTGAGTGACCATACATGACGCCAATGGAGGTGAAACCAAGGGGAAGAGAGAGAGAGAGAGAGAGAGATGGCGACTTGATCTGGGTTGGAGAGAGTCAGATCTAATGGAGGTATGGCGGAGCTGTGGGAAGGGTGGGTTGGAGGTCAGGCTGGAAGGCAGGGGAAATGGGAGAAGATGAGTTTTTTTATTTATTTATTTATTTATTTAAAAATATTATTATTATTATTATTTTAAATAGATTTTTTTATTGTTTTTTCCTTTATTTTATTAATTTTATTTCTTATGTGGAGTCCACATCAGTTAAAAAAAGGGTCCCACAAATGCCACGTAGACAGATAACAGATTTTCTAACGATCTCGCTAATGAAGAGGGCAAATTGTAGGTTTTCCACGACATTGAGTATGTACTCGTAAATGTCCCTAAAATCGGGTATGAACTCGTAAATGACCATATAGGTTGGGGGTTTACTGTAGTTTGTTCTTTTTTATATACCAATGCTTTACTATATGAAAAGATTATAAAATAAAAAAAATACTAAAGCACAGGGACGGACCCAGGATTTCAAACTTGACTGGGCTAAATTTAACTTACATATAAACATACTAAGTAGATAGAAAACTCGACCGTATGATGTAATTTCATTGATAACAATAAATAATAATACACGAAAAATTGTTTTGTGTAAAAATATTGGCTAAGTATAAAAATTAGTTTTTCGGAATAATCATTTTCTCAAGATAATTTTTGGCGGTTTTTATTCCTTACACATCAAATAAGAAAACTTGATTTTATGGGATTTTAGTATGAGGTATATATTGACTTAATGAGCCATCATTTTTAGCCTAAATCTTAATTTGTACTAAAACCGATTTTTCATATTTTGATTTGGTGGGAATTTGATTTTTTTAGTATTTTTATTTGAATCCAAATGGGGGGTACTTCCATATTTACATTGTAAACTTAATTAAATGGCGCAATATAAAAATAAATGAAAGTAAAAGGAGAAAGACATATAAAAATAAATAAGGTAGCACCTTAATAGATCCGTCACTGACTGGGCTATAATTTTTTTATGAGTTGGGAGAAAAAAAGCCACCTGGGCTGTAGCCCAAGTTAGCCATGCCTATGGTCCGTCCCTGCTAAAGCATCACATTTTTAAATCGTTTCATACGGAATGAATCACATTATGTGACAGATGATGTGTTAATAATATTAACACGTCAAAGGTAATACTTGTAATAAATGGATACTATTTTCGTACATTAATAATGTGGTTTAAAAACATGGTCCTCTACACGATTATTTACTTGTTTTATAGATGTATTTGATATTAAGAAAGCAGGTAAATTCACCTAAATTAGAGGCGAGTTGCTCCACAATGCACAACCATTAAGAGTAGGTGAGCTTGGACCAAGATTTCATTTGGGTCATGATCCCCAATCAAGAGAGAAAAACCTTGCTAAGCTAACCGTACCAGCATTCATTCATATACATGTTTGTAGCAACAACCACTCGTCCCCGCCTCATTTCATACAACCATAAAGAATTGTGCTTGTGCGATCTTGCAGAGCCTTTTTACTTTTTAGCACCCCCCCATGGATATGTGATGCTTTTCAAAAATGATATGAAGGAAGTAACTTGAAAATGGAAGATTGGAATAATATCAAGCTTGGGTCCCATATTGACCGTCTCATTACATTGTCCATTTCAACCACAGAAAAATGGTCACAAATCAAACAACAACAAAATGATCACATAAACAGATGAAAACTCCCCCTCAACGGCAACCTCCTTTTTTTTTTTTGGGTGGCTTTGAGAAATTGAAAAAATGTAACTAAGAAGAGAGAGAGAGAGAGAGATGTAGCAGCAGCTTCCATTTCCTTATCAAACAACTTCCCATCCAATGTTAAGCAAGCAATACCAACCTTTTTCCCTTTTCTTTCTTTTTCTTTTTCTTTTTCTTCAAGTAGCTCTTTTCTGTGAGAAAACTACTGTTTAGGTTGTTGGCGGATGATTTGTTGGGTACTCTCCTAATCTAACTTCACTTGCTCTGTACGTACACACTTGAGACAATTCTCATACCATCCAATCTCAGTTTCAACTTAATATAATCTTTTTTTTTCTTCTGTTTTTTTCTGTATTTCTTATTTGATCAGCAACACGCTAGCACATTATGGGAAATTTTCTTTTCTTTTCTGCTCTGCCATGCATTCTGTGATGAGTGTCGTGGATGAATGTAACCAATTCACTTTCTCCATCCAATTATCTGAAAACAGAGAACCACACCAAATTTAAGAACCATTATGCCTTTCAATTTAGTCTCAGCATGGAACAAGCGCCGGAGGTCCAAGTCACATGACCACACAGACCCTTGTATGTTCTTTCTTCTTCCTCTTCTTCTCCTCTTTCTCTGCAACTTTGTTTTGCAGGGTGGTGCTCACCAACTTTTTCACACCTTTCAGGGATTTATAAACCGGTGGAGTATTGGCAACTTGATGATCAAGCCCCACAACCCCCAAAAAGACACCATCATGGTTCATCAATTTTCACACTCAAAGAAATGGAAGAGGCAACATGTTCATTCAGTGAAGAGAATTTGCTCGGAAAAGGAGGATTTGGTCGCGTATACCGAGGAACTTTGCAGTCAGGGGAGGTATATTTCGTTCTATAATTATCTTTGAAACATTATGAAGAATCCAGTTTCCCAGCACATTCTGATGCAGACCCTGTCTGTTTGGGAATTTGCAGGTTGTAGCAATCAAAAAAATGGAGCTGCCACCTTTTAAAGCAGCCGAGGGGGAACGAGAATTTCGAGTAGAAGTTGATATCTTGAGCAGACTTGATCACCCAAATCTAGTTTCTTTGATAGGCTACTGTGCTGATGGGAAGCAACGGTTTCTAGTGTATGAATATATGCAGAAAGGGAACCTACAAGATCACCTAAATGGTTGAATTTCAACTCAATATGCATCAAATAATTCCCATGTAAAATAATCAGTTTGCTAATCTTCAAATTAATCTTTAATGGTATAATAATAGGGATTGGGGAAGGAAAAATGGATTGGCCTCAAAGGCTCAAAGTGGCACTTGGAGCGGCAAGGGGCCTAGCATACCTCCATTCCAGTTCTGATGTTGGGATACCTATTGTTCACAGAGATTTCAAATCCACCAACATTCTTTTAAGTGCCGACTTTGAAGCGAAGGTAAGAGTTAAACAAACTTACTTTCACTGAAATTTTGTCTCCTGCTTTTGAACTCTGAGCAAAACGTATATATTTATATATAGCTGAAACTCGAGCACTATTTCGTATAGGTATCCGATTTTGGGCTTGCCAAGATGATGCCAGAGGGCCAGGAAACATATGTGACTGCTAGAGTACTTGGTACATTCGGCTATTTTGATCCCGAGTATACATCGGTACGCATATTTGAAGATCAATGGTTTTCATTGTTGTACATTATATATGTCTCACCAGTAAATATAGCTGCATTGAAATTTTCTTTCTTATTTGGATATATAATCTATCAAAACTCATGCATTCTCCAACATCTCTTTGTTTGGTCCTGTTAAAAACTAAGAAAGTAGGGGAATAAAAAGAACACATTAGCAAATGAGTATTTCTAGACATTTCGTGTGATGCATGGCATGCTGCTTCCTGTAATGTACACTTTTATCATCAAACTCACCACAACCCGTCTCAAATGAATATTTTCGGGATACTTTGATCTTACTATTAAATAGAAAACAATGTCACACTCATATAACAAGAAGTGTATTTGGAAACAGACTGGAAAACTCACTTTACAAAGTGATGTTTATGCATTTGGGGTGGTTCTTCTTGAACTTCTGACTGGACGTCAAGCCGTTGACATTAACCTGGGACCAAACGATCAAAACCTAGTGGTACAGGTAGGACATATCCTTTCTCCTTCCTACTTATTATACTGGTTAAGTACATTAGGTCGTTATAAATATGACCCAAGTTCATTTGTTTCAGGTAAGGCACATACTGAATGATCGGAAGAAACTGCGTAAGGTGATAGATTCTGAGCTGGGTCGAAGTTCATACACCATGGAATCTATAGCTATGTTCGCAAACCTGGCATCACGATGCGTACGTCGTGAGAGCAGTGAGAGACCCTCCATGGCAGAATGTGTTAAAGAGCTCCAGCTGATTATCTATACAAATGCGAAAGGCTTGGGAGCAGCCATGGCTCCTAATAAAGCCATGTTCTAATTGGAGGGTGAAGACTATGTACAACAAAATAGAGATCCTTTACTTCTTCTAATAAAAGAGTTGTTGAAGCTTCAAAGCTTGTGGACCTATGATCTTAGAAACAAGACCCAAGAAGAGCATTTGATAAGGATTGAGAAAAACACAATGCAATTAGTGAAGATATAAGATAAAAACATCATCCCAAAAATGATCAAATTGAAGTTGATTTTCTTGTATCATTTTGTTATTTCAGGGAATCTAAATTATACACTGTTAATTCCGGGAATACATAATTTTTAATGTAATACATTTCCCTTTTGAGTTTACAAGGCAGAAAGGGCCATATTATAGTTCATACATCTCTACAGTTCTTTAATCTATTTCCGCTAGAATTCTCCAAGAAAAAAAGCACAACACTGATACAACAAACGCCAAAGCCGGACAAGGAAAGGGAGGTTTATTTGGAGCATATTATATATATGTACTCTTTGATGACTGTGTATTCTAGTTTGAATCTTTCAACTCAACTGGTGATATACAGGAAGAAAAGAAGTTCCATTTTTCAGGATTAAATGATATCTTTTGACCTTTTATAAGACCTATAAGTTAAAAAACAGAGTTGATTATATGCTACTACAATTCTGTACATTGGAAGCTTAGGAAAATAATTCTTTATATGATAACTTCAGGATCAAATATATCCAATATCTAAATCACATGTATCAAAACTGGAGTTGATCTGGTCATTACGTTTGCAAATTGCAATAACATTAGGAGTCTAGGACTACATATGATATACAAGAAATGCAAATGCCTGATGAGTTTACCTGCAACAAAGCAAGTCTCTACCATACACATAACAAAATGCAAGCAACAGTTGCTGGCACATAGGATCAAGCATTCTTGGCAAAATTCAACCCAGCTGGATAATCTTCACAACCTCAAAGGTCTCCCTATTCATCTATCCTGAACGACAAAAAACAAAAACAAAAACAAAAAAGGATTTGAGGAACAAGGAAACAGAGTGAGATTTGACTGCAACAACTTACAAAAAAGATCATTGACAAATAAAATAGAGAGAGAGAATTAGAGACAGTAACAGAAAAGGATGAAGTACTCTGTGTAGCAGTAACTGCACGTACCTCATAAACACGTATTATGATTTTCACATATACATTTCTGATGTTAATTCCTCATCAGAACAGAATGTATCTGATTCTGAAATGCTGGTTAAGACTGGAAGTTTCTTGCACATTAAGTGCTTGCGCCTCTGCAACAGCAACATAACCAAAATGTTATCCGTCTTTACAATGTCGTAACCTGCTCTTTTGTACATGTTGAATGGAGCTGTATCAATCATTCTGCAATGCAAGTACACCTCTCTTGAGGAACTCATCTGAGATATAAGTTCCTCGCTTGCCTTCAAAAGATGCCAGCCGATGCCCCTCCTGAAAATTGAAAAACCCATAGTCTTAAATCTGGTCTCATTCAAGACATTGTGAAGAAATCCTCTCTCTTTTGAATCTAGTGATATATGCTGAGAAGTTTTGTGATCAGTCATAGTTCGTAAAAGAGTGTCAATTATGAATAACCACATTCAATCTACCATCATAACAAAAATACATTATGACAAGCTCACAAGTACCCAAATTTGCCAATTACAAGCTATAAGTTAACATGCCCAAGTTTTATAGTCCTAAGTAACATTTAACAGACAAGGATATAAGCAGAACAAACAGTTGATAAAGAAATAAAAGCATTGATGGTTATGAGTAAGAAAAGCCTTAATTGGACAAGCAAAACGAACCTCCTAAGCGACTTCTTCACCGCCATGTTGCTTATATAAGGCGAGTTCTTGGGAGGAGTGGGTGTAGGAGGAGAAGCGTTGGCACCCTTTTTGTCAAAGCAAACTTCCACAGTCCCCGCCAAAAATTCAACTTCATCAACTTCTTCTTCATCTTCTGTGTTTTTTTCTTGTTGTTCTTCACCCTCTTCTTTACGTCTTCTGTAAAACCCAATAAGCGTGGCCGTGTGTGGCGATAGCTCCATCCGCTCAAACAAGTATTGCTTGACCAAGTAGCCCAACACAGAGACATATCCAGAAGGCAAAAGCATCGACTCTGCAAACGACTCAGCCAGCAACCCAACAGTGATGTCCATTTCCTCCGGCCTCATCACCCGAACCCACATCGACCCAGATTCCAATTCCTGATAATACCTGAAATTCTCAAGCAATTTGAGTTGCTCGAGCTCTTCACTGCTCAGAAATCGACCTGTTCTAAGTGGGTATTCAAGAAATGACGAAGATGTTGTAGTTGTGCTTGTAGTTGTAGCTGTATCAGTAGCAGTTGTATCAGAAGCAGTTGTTGTTGTTGTTGTTGAAGAATGAGATGGAGAGGAGGAAGATTTGAAAGAGGAAGGGTGTGATTTATGGAAAATAGCAAGTGGGTATTTGGGGCAAAGAGTTGAGGTTGGGGGAGAGAAGGGAAGGGGAGTTTGGTGAGGCTTGAATTGGGTTGTTTTGGAAAAGAGATGGTGGTGCTGTGGATCTAAGGAAAAAGAGAGTGAAACTGTTGCAGCCATAGATTTGATTGATTGCAGTGAGCGAGTGGATGAGAACACAACAATTACTCTTTACTTTGTTAATTGGTTTGGTTCCAAATCTCTTTTTCTTTCTGGTTTCTATTGATTCTTCTCCCCCTATCTTGTTGATACTTGTCCTGACCCCTCCGAGTTTCGCTAATAAATTTCACAGAAGAGAAAGAGCTTCTTCCATATGGATTCATGGAGCTTTGAGAAACTCTTTGGTATTTTTGTGAGAACGAGCAACAAAGGCCCAAATGATGACCCAACAACTAGGGATGGCCCAGGTGGGCAAGAAGAGAATAGAAAAATATTTATGGATCTTGGTAATATTTTGAAGTCTATATGTCAATTAGTACGTAAAGGGAGTTTCTTTTATTGAATTTGAAGACAGTTTCACAAACCACAAACTTGTTTATTGATCCTTGTTGGAATGCATGCATCATGTGTATGCATGAGAATGGAAGCTAATCCATGTTGAGTTTAGAAATTTCCATCCTCCTAAGAAATTAGATTCTCATCTCACTGAAATTTATGAACAAAGAGGAAACACAAGGATCAAAATTGAAGCAAAAGATATAACAAAGACACAAATTTGCATCCACACAAATTCCTGAAAAGGATATTTGAAGGCTGGATAAATTGTAGGCAACGTGGCAAGGTTTACATTATGGATTCTCAGGAACTGCCATTGATCTTTTAAGAATTCTATCCCACTTCTTCCAAACGAATTCATTTGTACAATATATAGACCACAATGGAACTACCTTCCAAAACATATATAGATTATAATACGTGCCATTGATCTTTTAAATCTTCTTGTTTTCTTCCATTGCAGGAGAGAGCCCAAACAAAACCACTCAACTCAATACCTGTTTGTCTTCCTCTTCTTTTGGCTTTCTCTCAGAGCTATTAACCACCACCACCCAAATTGAGAATAAGTTTGAAAGAAACAGACCCACCGATCTGATACTGCATCAACTCATTTTGCTCATCCTTAATTCACCGACCCTGATTATTCCATTTGTTCAGAACCTCTAGCATTATCTCATTCCATGTGTCTATAGGCCCTGGCAAGCACCAATGAACACAATCATTTTGGACCCTCTCTTGAACCCTATCAGCAAATGGAAATGGATTCATATAAGGCCCTGGGTGACCATCTGGCCTCATCAGTGATAATTTGGTCACATCCAATGCTTGCAGCCTAAACCCTGCAAATTTTTTACCATTTGCCTTAGCAGCTTCTACTTCTTCAACCTCAAGTTGCCTCATCTCAGCATCCATTCCTTCAAGCTGCTTCTCTCCCTCCATGTAAGGCTTGGTCTTGGCGCAAGCCCCTGCCTTGTCCCACTCACCTTCAAAATGTGCAGGTGAAAATGTTGTCACAATTACATTAACCCCATTGCCATTAGCATTAGCAACTCTCCTTTCAATTATGGCCTTGAGGGTAGTCTTTATGGCTTTTCTCAGCACATCATAGAAACCAATCTCACTGTGATTAAGACCAGGGCAGTAATGGCAGCCAAGAACTGAATCACCCTCAAAATAAACTGCTGGATGTAAAAACCAATGCCCAACAGACAACACAATCATGTCCATTTGACCCATATCTGCTGCCCACCTTTCATTAACTTGATCCAAATACAACTTGTTGTAATTTGGACCATCTTGTGATTTCTCAATACCTTTCACAAGAAATGGTGACCAATAAACTGACACACTGACATTGTGAGAAGAAAAATGCCATCTTCTAAACTTGTTCTCCTCACCATCAGTATAAACAAGGTTGGGAGGAGAGACAGTGGCTAGCATGCAAAGAAGAGACTCCAATTGGTTCCTGGCCATGGAGTCACCCACAAATGCTATGTGTTTGTTCCTAAGGATTTGGAGAAAAGTGTTGGGTTCAAACCTTGGTATGTGGCATTGCTTGGGTTTCCACCTCCAAAAGAGATAGCCCAAATCAGGTCTCCCATGGGTGATGCAATTCTGTCCTTTCTTGATTGTAGCACAGGTGGTGCCATTGTACAAAGGGCCCAGCTTGTCTTGGACCCAATTCCCACTGGTGTAGTCACATGGAGTTTCTTCACCTGTTTCTACTTCTGCACAAAACACCGACATACAAAATCCTTGTTAGCTATGAGAAATTAACAAGTTCAAGTATCTAAAAAAAACCCAAGTTAGCAAATTAAAGAAATCTATGACACAGAGAGCATATACGTGTGTAATTATGAGTACCTTGAGAAGAAGGAAAAGGAGGCAATGAAGAAGGAGAAGAAGAAGATGATGAGGTGGTGCTGATGGTAATGGCAGTGGAATGAGGGAGCTGATCTGTGGATTGAGGGAGAGAGGGGGTGTACAAGTATAAGCGAAGGACAGCAATGGGGAGGATGACATAGATGGTATAAGGTAAGAGCTTTCTGGCAAGAGAGTGATGAGATGGGTCTTTGAATGGGCTTGTAATTGTACCCATCTCAAAACCCTCTTTCTTTCTTCTTTTTCTCCGGCTCTGTTACCCTTTTTCTAGAATGCTATCTGATGGGAAAGCTGAGAGGAAGAAAGTGTTGTTTTCTTGGGTTGGCTTAAGCTTCTAGAGAGAGAGAGAGAGAGAGAGAGAGATGCTTGTTTGTGGGGTGATTCAGTCAAAGTAGCACTGAGAATCCCATTTTCTCTCTGGTTTGCCAACTAATTCCAAACCATTGGCGTTGTGATTGTTGTTGTCTTCTCGCGCTGTGGGAAACATGTGGTACTCTGCTTGTGCTTTTCCTTAACTTTTTCAGATAAATTTTCTTTTGGCACGTCTCCTCTTCTTTGGTATTTTTGTACATTTTTTATTTGGGTTGGCTTTCTTGTCCCGTATATGGGTAGAAGAGAAAACAATTATTTGCTCCTTGGTTTTTTTTGTCTAGGCTGTGACATGGTAGCCACCTACATAATTGGTAAAGTTCCTGTAATGTAATGTGTACTTTGGGAGTCTCAAATTGCCATTGTAGTAGTAGTGGGGATATTCTTTAACCATTTGGTTTGGGGAAAGGATGTGATTGTCTTTGATCATTGCAATTATAGATGTCCTTGTCTTGAGGATTAAGGGCAATTTCAAATCATGATACCAACTATTTTGTACCACATCTTTAATCTGCCCTCGAGTAGTTTTTATTCTTAATTTTTTAACAAAAAATTTATAAAAACAAATTAAAATTGACTTTTCAACCATTTACTCTTATCAAAATTGTCACTTATTATTGCAATATATATACTTTGAAAACCCAAAAATGTTCCTGTCAATTTTGAAAATAGAGATTTACTGTTTGCCATGTCTCCCCACCATCGCTGCTTTCATGGAACAAACTCCATGATATCGACTCTTGGCAAGCTGAGTTAAGTTGCCATAAATTAATTATATATTAGTTGAGTGAAGTGCCATAGATGTAGATGTCTAGCTACAATACATGATGACTCCCCCAACTACTTATAAAAAGCCAAGCTGCATCGTGTAAAGTAATAAAACAAAAACCACTCATAATAATAATGTGAAACAAACAACAAAAAAAGGCTGTGTCATTGTTTTCATATCAAGCCATTGGAGTCGGTGGAGTAGTTTATACATTTTTTTTTTTATTTTTTCTTATTTAGAATTAAAAGTAGAGAGCAATAAGCTTGTAATGAAAAATAATGTGAAAGATTCAGATCCAATCTAGGCAACGCAGATAAGTTCCAGAATAAAACACGTGTATATAGGGTTAGGAGGAGTATTAAGAACAAGTTTGGTATTGAAATTTGAAATGGTACATCCCTGCTCTTGTACGGAGTCACCACTTTGGCCAATACTTTATCCCTTACGGGCCGATCCGGTGTGAGTGGGGATTAGTCTGGATTGTAGTTAAGGCTTAAAGGTGCCACCCATAATTGGGGTCCATCCAGCTTATTCTGATTTTGAAAATAGAGCTTTACTGTTTGCCATGCCTCCCCACCATCGCTGCTTTTTCGCCCTGCCTTGCTTAAGCTTCTTCTTCTAGATCTTTCATGGAGCAAACTCCATGATATCGACTCTTGGCATGCTGAGTTAAGTTGCCATAAATTAATTATATATTAGTTGAGTGAAGTGCCATAGATGTAGATGTCTAGCTACAATACATGATTGAAAACCCAAAAATGTTCCTGTCAATTTTGAAAATAGAGATTTACTGTTTGCCATGTCTCCCCACCATCGCTGCTTTCATGGAACAAACTCCATGATATCGACTCTTGGCAAGCTGAGTTAAGTTGCCATAAATTAATTATATATTAGTTGAGTGAAGTGCCATAGATGTAGATGTCTAGCTACAATACATGATGACTCCCCCAACTACTTATAAAAAGCCAAGCTGCATCGTGTAAAGTAATAAAACAAAAACCACTCATAATAATAATGTGAAACAACAACAAAAAAAGGCTGTGTCATTGTTTTCATATCAAGCCATTGGAGTCGGTGGAGTAGTTTATACATCTTTTATTTTATTTTTTCTTATTTAGAATTAAAAGTAGAGAGCAATAAGCTTGTAATGAAAAATAATGTGAAAGATTCAGATCCAATCTAGGCAACGCAGATAAGTTCCAGAATAAAACACGTGTATATAGGGTTAGGAGGAGTATTAAGAACAAGTTTGGTATTGAAATTTGAAATGGTACACGTATAAAATGCTGCCGCTCATTAATCGTGCCAACCACAATTGACTTTCATCTTACTTTGTTTGTTGGGTTGGGAGAGGGGGTGGGGGAGGGTGGGTCTCCAACAATGATTAAATTAATGACACCTTTTAATCTAAACATGTGACACATAAGCAGATCCAGGGCATCATATACAATATATATTAGTATGTAACAAAATATTTATATAATATATTATATATACGTACGTATATACATAGAAACAAAATATAATATATATATATATATATATGTGTGTGTGTAAACACATATATACATGGATGCACGTTGTGGTACGACGAAGGAAAAAAGAAACATTGTATAGGCATCCATCAATCGTAGTCATTGTGAACTTGCAAGAGTACATCAATCATGTTACTTAATGTCTAGGTCCGTATATACAAACATTTAATGAATTACCTACCCTACCCTCTCAATCTCATTCTCACACAAATATTAGGCTTATTTACAATAATGCCTCCTAAAACTACTGTTAAATTTCACATTGCCCTCTCAAACTTAAAGTGACCCACTTATCTCACTTGACTGTGGCTTAGTGACCCACTTTACCTCATGCTATCAATTCAATCCAAAAAATTGTTAACTATGATGACTTGACAATGGTATTTTTGTAATTTTATATACATGACCAATAAAATGGGTGATGTGGCAAGTAGAGCTCCACTTGCCACATCACCCATTTAATTGGTGGATAATGATTCATATGTACAAAATTACAAAAACACTATTGCCACATCATCAAAGTTAACAAATTTTTGGACGAAATTGATGGCATGGGGCAAACTGGCTCATCAAACCATGGTCAAACGGGATAAATGGGCGACTTTGAATTTGAAAGAGCAATGTAAGATTTAACTGTAATTTCAAAGAACATTGGTATAAATAAGCCAAAATATTATATACTATATAGTCTAATGAATGAACATTTAAACGCCATGCCCCGATACAGAGTGGTGGCCAGCTCACCTCCCACGATGGGGAAACGAAAATGACAACATGATGTTCTGTTGGCCCCACAGTCTGAACAAGAAATCTGGAAGAATAGAAGAAGAAGGACCCCTGTGCTCATGCACAGAAGAGTATGACAAGACAAGACAAGGCATATTTTGCTTCAAATCGAAACAATAGAGAAGTTTGATTTGGGTTAAGGACACTGGCCCAAAGTAAAAAAGTTGAAAGGAACAATAAAGGCCAAGGCTTGCTTGGATTTTAAGATTTGGGCCAATTCCAACTAAAGCCCACTAGCACATCAGCTGCAGCGAAAATAACTAGGGCTTTGTATCACAAATCAGAACACTCCAATTTGGGGAAAAACAAAAAAAATAAGGGGCATGGCCATGGATGGCAGCAACGCGGAGGAGTTGGCCATTGGGTGCTTCGTCTCTATCAAGACCACCTTGAGTGACGAGTTTCAGGGGCAAGTCATCACCTTCGATCGCCCCTCCAACATCGTCGTCATTCATATCCTTCACTGATCGCTATTATCAGTTGATTTAATCGTTTTTCCTTTCATTTTTACTAACCCTAGAGAAATTGAAGAGAAAAAAATTTGATCTTGCAAGTTATTTTTCTTTAACTTTTGAGATTACAAGAGGGTTCGAAAGGAGGGTCTCGGCGAAACATAAGGCTGCTGAAGGCGAACTATATAAAGGAGTTGTCGTATTTGGGTCAAGCCGAAGACCCACTTGATGTCAAAAACTGTTACCTTGATCTCAACAGTCTCCGCGCCAGAGAGGAATTGGCCATTAGGTAATTCATGAGCTACTCAATTGGAATTTTGTTGAATAGTTAATGAAGTTTTTTTTTTTATGTTTTGGAAAAAGAATTAATGAAGTGTTTGGTTGCGTTTGATGATTGCAGACAAGCAGAGGCAGAGTCCGAGAGGATTGGTGTTGGGGTCACCAGCCAGGCCCAGAACATTTTCGACGCCTTGTCTAAGACGTGAGTGCTTTATCCAATTATTGCTTGCTAATCGAGTTCGTAGCTGAAAAACGATGAGGATAATGAATCTGCATCATGGTTTTCCGCAAAAGCAACCCATTTCCCTGTAAAATGAAAATGTTGTTGCATGAAGCCGATTGTACTGAATTTCTTAATTAGAAGTGGACTTTAAAATTTGTTGAGATAGAATAACTTAACTCTACAAGACTTGTTCTTTTGAAGTAGCTTAAAGATTTGAAATTTATGAGATTTTAGGTATGCATGTGTATGCATGAGGTGAAACCAAACATTTTTTCAATATTTTCACCGGTTGGAGAGATTTTGAATTTGATAGATTGATGATTCTTACATGAACACAGATGCAAAATGTAAAATTTCAAGGCTTTAGTTACAATGTAGATCATTCCATGGTTGGGACTTATGGAAAGTTTATAATTTTCAAGTTTGGAAAGTTTACATTTCCTGGACTGAGTGTAATTGGTGATGATGATGATCAGGCTTCCAGTGCGCTGGGACAAGACTGTAATAGTTGTGATGAATGCGGTGCGTGTAAGCAGTCCATATACTCCGGAGTCTGTCAGTGGAGGAACACCTGCTGCCAATGAGCGGGTGAAGAAAGTGGTAAGATACTTAAATTATCACATTATTTATCTTAGGCTGATTTTTATCAGGGAAACTTAAACCACAAATGCACAAACACAATCTAAGCACGTGAGATGCGATTGGCCAAGCCAACTGCATACATATATATATACTTGTGCTAACATATTCAAAATTTGCTTTTAGCTTGAGCTTGAGAGGAAAAGGTTGCAAACTCGTGGCAGTGGTCAATGATGGATTCAGGTTTGCACCTGGTTGGCCAATAGGAAAAGACTTTTCCCTCGAGGGATAAATCATGATGGGTATGTAGGTACACTCAACCTTCTCTGCGGGGAACATGTTATCTATTCTCTAGAGACATTTGAACGCCTGGATCAAAGAATCAATCCAATACTTGCTTATAATTCGATCTGTAGTTCTTTGGTCTTGCCAACAATTGGCTCTTCTGTTGTGTTTGCTATTGCTCTTGACTTGAGTTTGAGACGGTTTGTATGCTATTAAGAGATTGAGTTTTACACCATGGCTATACCCCTGT